TGCATATGGTGGGGGGAAGCATGTGCAGCTGTGTGGGGGTCCAGGATGGTTGGCAGCATTGGGCATTAAGATCAGCAGCCTTAAACCACTAGTTCATTCTTTACTATTGGTTCCTTGTTTGCTTATCAGTTCTTATTAAAGCCAAAAATAACAACACAGCTCTTCGTGGTAGAACTCTGTTAACCATGCCTCAGCTCCCACTTGACCACAGATTCCCTGGGTGCTGGATAGAGGAAGAAGAGATGAAGGACTGACTGGACATACTAGTAACATCTTGAATAACATATAATAAAATTAAGAATATAATGAATTATTTTTCTGCTTTGCTGAATACAGCATGCCTTACTTGAAGGTTTAGAAATTCCATAATGTATTGTAAATGTGTGAAAAGTGCTACAAGTAGCTCTTTTACAGATATGATAGATTTTTTTTTTTCAGCAACAACATGTGCTTTGAACTCTGCTGGAGGGCTCTCTAATATTTATGGTCAAGAAGATGACCTGAATAATTTTGTCCTTTCTGGTACCAGATGAGGGAACATCTTACATCTAGGGATTTGGATACATCTGGTTTGGGAAACATATCAAAAAATGGGTTTGTTGATTCAGGTCAAGCTCTGTCACTACTTTCAGCAGGACTTTGGACATCATGTTCAGATAAGGCACCAGGAAGGCTTAGGTCTTCCCCAGTCTTCTGTTGAGAGAATAATAATCAAGACATCACCCTTGGCTGACAAATGAAACAAGGAACAGATTGCTATCAGCATAAGAGGCAGCTCCTCTGACAGGTACAGGACTAGATCGATCTCACAGAGATGCAAGGTTTCTAGTTAGTAGAAACACTTAAGTCATACTTTCCAGGAGAACAGTGACATGAAATTTCTTTACTGAAAGAGTGGTTAAACATTGGAACAGGCTGCCCAGGGAAGTGGTTGAGTCACCATCCCCGGAGGTATTTAAAAGACGTGTAGATGAGGCGCTTAGGGACACGGTTTAGTGGGCATGGTGGTGTTGGGTTGACAGTTGGACTCAACGACCTTAGAGGTCTTTTCCAACCCTAATGATTCTATGATTCTATAAAAAATCACATTATCACATAACTAATTGGGGTGATAGGTTAGGTGTCTTCTGAGCTTAAGGACTTCACCTTGAACTCCAAAAGGCAGTTAAAGTAGACTGATAACTATATCCTACTGGGCCCTAAAGAGCTTGTATTGAGACAAGTAGGAAATTCCCTCTTTTCCACAATCAGTCTGTGTCAGAGGGAGATTTTCCTGCTTCTGGTTCAGATGTCACAAGCAGGGAGAAAACAGTCTGCTCTGAAAAGCTTCTAAATGTTCAATTGATAAGATGGAGGAGCCCCAGTTCACTTCATAAAGACATGGAGTAGTCAAGATAAGAAAGCTCTCCTGGTCTACAGGCTTTAGCTGTGAAAATTTCCCAAAAGGTCTGGGGAGAGGAGGTGAATAAAGTTCTGGAAAACAAAAGCGAGTCTCTTGAACGAGTCATTAAAAATCTTACTTATGCCTTGAAGAGCAGAGAGAGAACTTTGATGTCATTATTGAACACACTAATAGCAGATATCTTTCTGAGCCACCTGCATGTCTCCATGATGGAAGAGTGACTTGCTGTTTGATGCTACATTCAATTCCTGCCTGCCATTTTAGCTTCCCCACTGAAATGAAATGAAAAATACCTCCCAATGTCTGTGCTAGTTTTTGTGACTTCTTCCAGAGTCACCTCTAGTCATTCAGTTCTGGCAACCTACTATTCTATCTAGGGACAAGGAAGAGAAAATGCAAGCTTTTTTATCCTAGACATGAAGAGTGATAAACCACATGCTTCCTGTGCAGAAACTGCTGCACAAGAAAGTTCAAGCACAAGAAGTCCGTACACAGCCACAGCAGATTGCACAAGTATGACCTTCAGTACAAGTACAAGTTGCACTTCCACTTGGCAAGTGGAAGTCTCTGAAATGCAGTGGGAAAGCACTGCTAAACTTGGAATGAAAGTTGCAAATGAATCCACTACAGAGCCTATATCCAGCATGCCCAGTTGTTGAGTTATTAATGAAAGAGGAAGATGGGAAACAGTAATGTAAGATGAGACTGAGGTTTCGATTGGTGTCCCTTATCTAAGGAAATCACTGCCCACGTAAGAGAAAATCCAAAAATTTCAATTTAGTGACTTGCCCAGCAGCAAAATCAAAGGCAGGTGCTGGATATAATAGACAATACTGGTCAAACTGTTTCTTTCTGAACAGCACTCAGTAAACAGAGTCGCCACTATTGAGTTCTAACCTCTTGTCATGCAGCAACATTGAGTCAACAATCCGCTCTCATGGCTTAATGCTTTTGATGTTTACTTTGTTCTTTCTATAGTTCAAAAGAAAGCACTAATACACCAGTCCTCTTACCAAATACAATCTTAATCCCAGAATCCCGAGCCTTTTGCTGTTGGCCAGTTAAGTCTGTTAAGACGAAAGGATTTGATCAAGCTTTACATAACAACACAGAAGTTAAATCCAGCAAAGAGAGTTCTTTTTATCTGTACTGCTCAGACAGCTAAGAGGGGGAAAAAATGAGAGGGAGGAAGGGGAAAAAAAAAAAAAAAGGTAATGAACTTGGCTATGTAAAACAAAATAAGGAATTCAATTATTTCTCTTATTGCCACTTTGTCTTTTCAGTAAGAGTCTTCTAAAGAACTCAGATTTATTCTCCAATAAAGTCTCTGAGTGTGAAGGCTGTAACTTTCCCCTAACCCAGAAGAGCTGTGGCACCTGCTGTGCTTTTTTGCAAATCTGAGAAATGTTTTTTTTCATTTTTTTTCCATCCCTACCGTGTATTTATGAAGACAGAATATAGTTCATTGATTAGACACTTGCCTGGTACTTGGTAGAGCCGGGTTCAAGTCTTTGTTTTGCCATTCATGCAAGTAATATATACTTTCTATAATATTAATTACATTTTCACACAAAACATTTCTATGCAGAAAAGAGCTACAACAGTGGTCATCTTGTACCTAAGCCACACAGAATTCAAGCTGTGCCCTAACAAAGGTCTCAAATCATGCTTCAGCTTCACTTCATGCTAGTATCACAATTTTATGCTAGTACTATCACAATCATCCAAAAATATGCCAGTAAAAAGTACGAAGTTATACATAAAGGGTGAAAGCATCCTGCTTTAACACAATGCTTCTAGTATAATCTGTTAATTATAAGATTTTCAATCTCCCATTCAAGACAGAAGTGGCTAACACTGTCCCCAGCATGGAAAGCATAGCCTGGAGATCCAAGAGCCGAAGGGATGAGGTCCAAGCCTTGGCAATCTGCACGCATTTGCCTCAGCACTGGGTGGGAACAGTTACCTGCCTCCCAACTGGAAAGATGCCAGAGAACAGCTCTTCCCCAGTGGCAGCACACAAAGAAAAGACCACCTGCTGGTATCTAAATCTTGTCTTCACTACTCAGCTACTTCATAAGAAATGAGACACATCAGAAGTAATAATGTAAAACTGCTGAAAGACTGAAATTACAGTAGCCTAAAAGGTTTTACACTAATAAAAACAATCCTGCTGCTGACTAGTTTGGAAATATTATATATTGGATATTATGTTTGCTATGCAAGACAATTCTACACAACAAAGTAAGAAGTAATTAAAGGCAAGGAAAGGTAGAATGAGACACAGAAAAATAGAATTATTCACCTCGCTGACATTTAATATCCTGTGTTAAGTAGATTCCCCTATAATTCTGAAAATTAAAAAGCCACCCTTTATTAGAGTTATGCCCTACTATAAGCAGAAAGGAAAACTGTGGTGAAGTTAAATACTGAAACACTTTTAACAAACACTGACTCAATCATGGCAAGTATATCTTGCTTTTGTGTTTAACAGTAACCTACAAGCACCAGCTGAAATTGAGCTCTTACGTTACAGGCACATAAGAGGGAACATTCTTTGTAAACTACAGACATGATGATAGAAACATGGGATCCAAGAAACACAGTATATTAACACATTTCACAGGTAAGGAACTGGAAGACAGACGTTCTTAACATAGAGAATCTTTCAAGGTCTGTTTAGACTGAAGTGTCTACCACCAGAAACAAGTGACTGGATTATAAAAGGACAGAAATTTCCAAGTTAAGCTTGACATGGTTCATTGCTCTAAGTTGGGCACATTGTTTCCACTAGCCTATAATATAAATCTAGCACACAGCCCATGCAACCACTTGTTATACTAGAGAGTTTCCCAGAGAATTTCTGAAGTCTCATTTCCTTGTTTTTTAAAAGAATGAGCAACAATGTCCTCAAATTAATCTCTTCGTTCATCAATCCCCACTTGTCCAACTGAAGTTCAAGGTACCTCAGATGTGTTTTCCGGCACGCAGAATACAGTGTCCATACTCAAGGTCCCCAAAGGCCCTTCCTGCTACAACAATGATTCCATCTCCACTGCAAGGAGAGGCCTGATCACAGAGGAAGAGATGAGATGAGCCTTGGAAAGAAGCAGTTATCTGAGGCAATAATGATTCCATTCATATTCAAGAGAAATGTATTGAGTAACAGTCTCTGGTCTTTATTAGAAACTAACGCAGGAGTTTCTAAGTCTGGTTTGTGTAACACAGAAGGGTGTGCAGCGTATCACAAACCTCAATGCTGACGTTTTCAGTGATTGCATTTACCACCTCTGCTGGGGACAGTGATATTCACTACTGCTACCCATGCCAAGAGAAGTAGCTGGAAAAAAATTGGGAGACCTTGGATTAAAACACTTGGTCCCTATGATACAACTGGGTGACTTTTTTTGATACTCGGAGGACAGTGGTAGGAGATACAGAAGTAATACCCTATTCCCATCTTAACAGTCTTGCCAGGCAAACGACGCATCAGTATATCAAGAACTGCACTCTCATATGTGCATTCTCACACTAACTTGTTCACTGACTTACTCCAATATCCCTTAATATTAAACAAGAAATTTTGTTCTTTAAATACCTTCTAGATGAAAGTGTTCATCACCAATAGTGTCTCTGTAGCCTTCTCCAGATAAATCCTGTTTAAAAAAAAAAAAAAAAAAATTAATGACAAATATACTACATACAAAGTGTTGAGGTGTTAAGAATATGTATTTATTATCGCCAGGATTAATTTAAAACACTAACGAAAGCACAGAAGTTGTTTTCCAGGAAAGAAGTCAGTCCCTTTATTAGTGGTAGTCAATGTATTTGGTGCTATTTTGCAATGCTCTGGACATACTTTAGGACAAAAATTTAATGGAAATTAATAGATTGTACAGGGGAAAGAAAAAAGAAGTGTTCCTATTCAAATCCTTTTACAAAGTAGATTAATATTTAGCATTTCAATGTTCTGTCAGTCACGCAAGATTAAAAAAACTCCAAATGGAAACGATAAAGGAGAAGTAAGCCCTTCACTACTGACAGAGGAATGTTATCACTTGGTTCCACCAACAAACAGAAAACTTTCATATGCCAGAGGTCACCCAAGAAAAGCAGATACCAGACTCCGAAGAGCTGCCTGATCCTTCAGTCCCGAAATTAATGAAATTTTGTCAGCCCCAATACATCTAGAGCAATACAGAAGCAGATGCCGTAGATGCAGATGATCTTATCTCAGACCCAAAAAACATCTCTCTAATGGTGCTGAAGTAGTAATAAAGGGCATCAGTGGGATTTGGAGCTAATCGCACTTACAAAGACCCTGAAGAGCATTCTTACTCTCTTATTAGCAGACCCTTCCAGCTCCATCCCCCCACCCCAGCTAAACCATAAGCAGTGACAGCTATCCTCATGTTTTGCCTTCTCCCATTCATTCCAAAGGCTCTAGCATCACCATAACATCACTGACGTCCTGGTTTCGGCTGGGATAGAGTTAATTTTCTTCCTAGTAGCTGGTGCAGTGCTGTGTTTTGGATTTAGCATGAGAACAATATGATAACACACTGATGGTTTAGTTGTTGCTAATCAGTGTTTATACCAAGTCAAGCACTTTTCAGCCTCCCATGCTCTGCCAGCGAGGAGGTGCACAAGAAGCTGGCAGGGAGCACAGCCAGGACAGCTGACCCAAACTGGCCAAAGGGATATTCCACACCATATGACATCATGCTCAGTACATAAGCTGGGGTGAGTTGCCTGGGGGGCAGCGATCGCTGCTCGGGGACTGACTGGCCGTCAGTTGGCGGGTGGTGAGCGGTTGCATCACTTGGTTTTTTCCCCCCTGGGTTTTGTTTCTCTCTCTCTCTCTCTCTCTCTCTCTCTCTCTCTCTCTCTCTCTCTCTCTCTCTCTCTCTCTCTCTCTCTCTCTCTCTCTCTCTCTCTC